GAAGGATATCATGTTTGGTAAGGTGGAGGGTCAGAGAAAAAGAGGAAGACCCCCAAGGAGATGGATTGGCCAAGTGGCAGCATCGATGGACTCAAACGTGGCAACAGTAGTGAGGTTGGCCCCAGATCGGGCAGTGTTTCATTCTGCTGTGTATAAGGGCGCTATGGGTCGGTACCGACTCGATGGCACCTAACAACAACAACGAGTAAGCTTTGAAAGAGGGACGTGGTGGTGGCTCAGTGGTAGAATTTTTGCCTTCCATGCAGGAATCCTGGGTTTGATTCCTAGTCAATATACCTCATGCATAGACACCACCCATCTGTCAGTAGAAGCTTACATGCCGTGATGCTGAACAGATTTCAGATTAAGAGGAACTAGGAAGAAAGGCCTGGAAATCTTCTGAAAAAAAAACCTGCCAGTGAAATCCCTATGGATCACAATAGTTAGTCCCTTTCTGTACAGGATTGCCATGAGTCAGGGGGTGTAGGCTTGATGATGGCTAGCAACAGTAATATTATTGTCACTAGTCAGGAGTGACCAAAACCCCCAGGCACATTTCTAGAACCACTATGCTGTAAATTGGAGATTCCCAGAAATCAGTGGGTAGCTGAAGCCTTCCTTAGGTGTGCCTTCCTGCTCAGACCCACTGCATTCCACATCCATCACAGCAAAGAGATAGGAAGAGCCTGGAGCTGAGAATTGGGAGCCTTGAGATCACTCTTCTGTGCCAAAATAGCTGTGCAAGTCACTTGTGCCTCCTGGCCCTTCACCTTGCAGGGATGCTGCTTCCTTCTGCAGAATTAAAACAAAGTGACCACTAGGGTTGAGTCCCACCTAAACTACCACATCACCAATTCCCAAAACCACATCCCACACCTCACACTGAAAAAGAGGTAGGTAAGAATGCCTACCTGTAGACTAGAAGCAATTTCCCTTCACAGGGCTAACTAAGCAGTGAGTTTCCATGCTGGTCACAGAATCCCTTCTCCCATGCTAAAGGTCTAGACACATGCTATGAGCAGGAACAAAGGCAAACCCACTAGTCTGATCAGAGCACAGACCTGGCGCACTTGCCTGAATCGCCTTGCTAGGCAGCCATGCTATAGGCGAGCAAGATTAGGATAATCCTGGGGCATTTGCTTGTTAAGACCCTTATACAAGAGTGGAGAGCTGAAGAAAAGCCCCGACCGTAAGCTGACAAGTTTGTGAGCACAATGTGGATTTGTTCAAGGCGATTTCTCCAGCTAAAAGGATAAGCTCGACAGAAGCCTTAACCTGTGAAGTATCTTTCAACTACAGGTTGGGAAGCTGGGTGAGCAGGAAACAGTCGCAGGCAAAGGTGGTCTCATGGCCCTTTAGAAGGCTATTAGGGGAAGGATGGAAACAGGCCCAAAGAGCTGCCCACAGTGAGTGCTTAACAGGCTGGGGTGGTGAGGGGCTCGTTCACTGGAGGCAGTTACTTAAGAGTCTGCTTAGATGTGCTTTCTGCTCAATATTCCCTCATCCCCTCCTGTTGACCCTCCAAGACCCCTGCTCTCCCTCTTCTGCTCAAAAGCAAAGCCCAATTGATTGATTCTGTTAAAGAAAAAGAACTGAGAGGTTTGTTGTAGCTGTAAATTGGAGCTCCCCTCTTCCAATGACAGCAGTCCAGAGGCCATCCCTGAGCTAGTGGCTCTGAGAGAGAATTCTCCTCAGTAAAGGACCATTCACAAGAACCCGGCTCTAGCTTCTCAGAAGTCAAGGGATATTGAAAAGAAGCTGGGGTGGGAGAGATTCCTCCAGCCAGGCCTTCAATGGGCCAGGTGTATAGAACTGTAACACACAGCATGCCTCTCCATCTCGCTGTCCCCAAACCCTAGACATCCCCGCCCTGGGCTTGTTCCTGCGTGAGCAATGCTGCCGTGACAAATCCACATCTCAGAGGCGTCCCTAGAGAATCTCATGATATGCTTACATCACACAGCCCAGAGGCTGCACCAAACCAGACAGATTCTTAAGTCACTGCCCAAAACCTCCAGTCAGGTCAGGGAGGAAAAGTCACTGGGGAGGTGAAATGACTCAGGACTTTAAGGTGAAACATAAAGCTTTGCAGAGGCATAAAGCAAGAAGATGATATTTAAAGAAACCCTTACCTGTGGTGGGGTGAGATAGGTTCCTAGTTCATTGACGCCATTAACTGCTTAGTAATGTGACCTAAAAGGGAAACCTAGTGGTGCAGAAGTTAAGCACTCAGCTGCTAATTAAAAGGGCAAAGTTCAAACCTACCAGCCATTCCACAGGAGAAGGATGTGCTGTCTGCTTCTGTAAAGATCACAGTCATGGTGACCCTATCTATAGTTTCCTCTCTGCCCTATAGAATTTCTATGAGTTGGAATCAATTCAATGTAAATGGATTGGATTTTAGTTAAATGTGACCTACACAGTCCCTGGATGGTATGAGTAAATGGTTTGCACTTGACTACTTAACCTGAAAAGATTAACAGTTCATACTCACCCATATGTACTGCAGAAGAAAGGTCTGGCAAGCACTTCGGTAAAAACTTTAGCAAAACCCAATGGAGCACAGTTCTGGTCTGACATGCATGGGATTGCCATGAGTCAGAATCAACATGATGGCAGCAGGTTTAATGTGACCTGAGACTAGACTGGACTATTTTCTACTACACAGTGAAAGCTCACCAACTCAGGGCCACATGTGTATAGGTCAGGATGCTGTCAGATGCTACAGGAGACCATTCTTTGAAAACCAAGGTGTGTGAAGCAAGTGCAGTGTATTATTATGACGAGGCAGTTGAACTGAAAGCTCTTTAAGCACCCTCTCTTGCACAATGAATGAAACCATGGATGGATGAGTTCATTCCCCCAATTTTGAATACCTAAAACGTTCCATTCACATGTAGGAATGGCCTCATTGTACCTATCACTTGTACTCTCAGACTTTCTTTTTCATGTTTTCAGAGACATCAGTAAGAATCAGATCTCGGACATCGCTCCGGATGCCTTCCAGGGCCTGAAATCGCTCACATCGCTGTAAGTGTGAAACAGAGCCGCGGGGAGGGGAGGGCAAAGCACATCTGCCTCTATATTTTTCAAGTAGTGTTTACCAAGGCTTTATGTTCCCTTACACACTTGTGCCAATCTGGTAAAAGAAACAAATATTTCTTCAGGAGAAATTGATCCTGGGGAATATTTCTACAACCTAAATGCATTATTTTTATTGATTAAGTGCCCAGCAGCTTTCCCAGTTATTGGCTTCTCATTCGAATGCATCTTCTACTCTCTGCATGGCCCCCTCCCTTCCCACAGCTGCATAGCACTGTCTCCAGGGAAAACAAAATAGGAGAGAACTGTAATACATGTTTATTACTGGTGTGCCCATTTCAATGCATTTACCAAGGAGCGACCTAATTTTCTTCTAGTTTTCAAGATTTCTCTTTCGACCAACCTCATAACCATAGTTCTGAGAAAGCATTCACTCTCTCTTATCTACTTCCTTGCCTTGATTTAAAAAACTCTTAAGCAGCCCACTGGGAGAAACCACAGCCTCATCCATTTGGTGATGACTCACAAGGGTAGGAAAGTGTGGGGTTTTGTCCTGATCCTGTCAGTGAATCATAGTTTGGCATAGAGAATGTCACTTGGGTTAGCTGTATGTTTCCTCACAGGAAAAATTGGTATGGTGATACTCTTGCTGCCCAACCCACATTCTCCTAGAAAAGTTATAATTAATGATGACCATGACCACAATTGTTGTTGTTGTTAAATGCCATTGAGTTGGTTCCGACTCATAGCGACCCTGTATAGGGTTTCCAGGGGGCAGCTGATGGGTTTGAACCACTGACCTTGCAGTTCAGACCAACCTGTGGTCACGTGCACTATCCTGCAGTGCCACACTGGAGGTAGTGGTTATGTGCTGTGGAGTCAGTTCCCATTCATAGCGACTCTGTATAGGGTATCCAGCACTGTAAATCTTTACGGGAACAGAAAGCCTCTTCTTTCTCCCACGGAACAGCTGGTAGTTTTGAACTGCTGACCTTGCTGTTTGCAGCCTGATTCATAACCACTACGCTACTGGAGTGCCACACTAGGATTATCAATAAGAACTATCAATTGTTGACAGCACTCACTGAGCACTTGACATTTCTGGGTAGTGTAAATAAACAATTAAGTGCTTAGTTGCCAACCACAGGTTGTCAATTCAAGTCTACCCAGGTGTGTCAGAATCAAGTCTACCCAGGTGTGTCAGAAGAAAGGCCTGTTGAACTACTTCCAAAAACTCAGCCGCGGAAAACCCTATGGAACACAGCTCTACTCTGACACACATGGTTCACCATGAGTCGGAGTGGAATCCACAACAACTGGGTTTTTTGTTGTTGTTGTTTTTTATTTACTGAGTGCTCACTGTGTACCTGGTACTGCTCTAGAGTCTTGCAGGTTTCATCCCCACAAGGATCTTGTAATGTAGAATCAATTGTCATCTCTCTCTTACAGAGACTGGGTTACCTAAGTTCCACAAAACCCGGGATTTTTATCCATTTTGATCCTGGCTGTCTCTTAGAACTATGTAAACAGTACCTGGTACATAGTTACTATGCCAAAAAAATTTTTGTTGAAGAAATGAATGTAGCTTCTCTAAAGTCCACAGGAACAACTGGGAGATTTGAGCTGAGGAGCCCACACCATTGGTCCCGATACTAGGCTACCCCTGAAGATACTATGAAATGAGTATCTTCTGGAAGAATAGCAAGGACACCCAGAAATAGGTTATTCACATCTTGCTTCTCCATACAACCTGTCTGCTTAACTTAGGAGTCAGAAGATAGTAAGAGATATACTTTTTTCCCACTGGGAAACGACTGAGAACAGGGCTAGGGAAGTCTCTGGTTTAGCTGCTGCCTGCTGCTTGCAAAGTAAATTAGTTTCATTTATCGAATGGAACATCTGGCTAGGATATCAAAGACAGGATTGTGTGTGAGATTAGTGTCTGCTTATTGTGCTGAAGATGGAGAAGGGAGAAGGGGCTGCCTGCCACCAAGCTCCTCTCCCTGCCCTTCTGTCCCTCTTGTCTGTTTGCCCTCTGCCATAATTGGGAACACTCTGGGGAATATTAAGATGCTTCCTGTCTTTCAGGAAAAGAAATTTAAAATCCAATAGTCAGTCTGAAATTGACATGCCACTGGCCAATTCTGAAATATATTAGGGCATTGTTTAGAGGGAGTGCTTCTCCCCCTTAATTTATTCATTCATCCGTTCAGTTGCTGCTAACTATGTGTGAAGACTATTCTAAGCACTGAGACAGAGCGCTAGTGGATAAGTCTTATAGGTACTAAGATGAAACTGTAGGATAAGCACTGGACTGCTAACCACAAGGTCAGCAGTTCAAACCCACCAGCTACTCAGCAAGAGAAAGATGAAACTTTCTGCTCCCATAAAGATTAATAGCCTCTGAAATTCTCTCCCTGGTTGCTGTAAGTTAGAATCAACTCAGTGGCAGTGGGTAAGTGGGTTGTTGTTGTTGTTGTTATTGTTGTGAAGTGCCATCAAGTTAGTTCAGACTCATAGCAACCCTGGATAGGGTTTCTGAGGAGTGACAGGTGAGCTTGAACCACCGACCTTGCAGTTCAAACTGACCTTGCAGCCCAGTGCATTAACCTGAAGCCCCACGCCTAGGTAAATGGGTTGTTGCTGTTGTTGTTGTTGTTCAGTGCCGTCGAGTTGGCACCAACTCATAGCGACCCTATGCACAGTAGACTGAAACACTGCCTAATCCTGGGCCAACCTCACTACTGTTGACACACTTGAGTCCATCGATGCTAAGTGCCCTGAATTCCCTAGTGACCCTGTTAAGTGACCCCTAGTGGCTCCCCAGTGTCCCTGGTGGTATTGAACTACCGACCTTGTGGTTCACAGTGCAGTGCTGAACTTACAAACATACCCATCCCAAAATCAGAAGTGGCCAAGATAAAGGGTTTGAGAGTCTTTACCCGGTATCTGGATTTATTCATTCAATCATATGACAAATTGTTATTATGCTAGTCCTTGTTTCATTCCAGGCTCCAGCGGTCCAGCTACATACAAGCCACATAATACCACCACACATTTAAGGGCATGAGGGCACAGAAAACTTCTGAATAAATAAATCTATATAACCTAGAATGTTCAGGAGTAGAATTCTCACTTTCAGTGGGGGAGACCCAGGTTCAAGTCTTGGTCATATGCCTTGAACGCAGCCACCACTGGTCTTTCAGTGAGACTTGTGTGTTGCTGTGATGCTGAACTGGTTTCAACAGAGCTTCCAGATTGAGATGCACAAGAAGAAAGGACAGGTAATGTTTCTCGCCCATTGAGAACCCTGTGGATCACAATGGTCTGATCCACTCTTGGTTAGGAAGTGGTGCTGGACAAGGTAGTGTCATTCCATTGTGTGTGAGGTCACCATGAGCCAGACCCAACTTGACGGCAGCTAACAACAACATAATGTGGCGCCATGGTAGGTGTTATGAAGAATTGGAAGCAGGGTGACAGGTGGGATGGGAAAGGCGAAAATCATCAAATGGATTATTCAGGAAAAGTCTCTCCTCTCAAGGAGCTGTTTGAACTCAGGTTTTAAAGGTAGGAAGAAGGCAGTTGAGGAAAGATCTGGGGAAAGTTGGAAAGGCTACACACAAACACCATATGGTGGAGGCAAAGTTAAGTGTCTCAAACCCCTGAGCAATGCATATCAGTGTTCCACCTTTATTGTGCCAAATGGAGTAAGATCACAGTTTCTCTGCTTGTCATAGCTGATGTCAGGCCTTCTAGAGCAGTGGAAGCTGGTGGCATGGCTTTAGCCATCAGTGAGTGGTCTTGACCCACAAGACTCAGACGTAGCCCAGACTGAGGACTGAGAACCTTCACCCCAGGCCCCCACCTCACTGTGCCAGAGCTCCTGACACACTGGAAGTTCTGTCATCAGCCAGGATGAGCAGACAGACAGTGGCATTGCTGCATTTGTCACAGTGCCTGGTGGACATTAATATGAATTACAAATGGGAGCCTGAGCCATCGTGCTGACTTTTATTTAGTCATTAATTTGTTGAAACATTAATGAAACACAGCCACAGGCTAAGGGAGACACTCTTTACTCCTGATGGTGTCTGGAAATGGGGGGTTTAGTTTATTGCTCCATTTCCTCATCCTAATATTTTACCTCCTCAAAGAAGCATAATTGTGTGGATTTGCAATCCAAGTGGGGATTGAAAATTGCATTCATGGAGGGCACCTTGGGGATCAAAAAAATGAGCATGCTCCTTAGCTGAGTTCCCTTCATTTCTGAGGAGGCTGGACCCATGAGACAGTGAAGTCTGTGCTTAGGCAAGAGCAGGGAGAAACCCACAGTCCTCTCCGCTCCTATACTGAAGACCAGCAAGAGCAGCCACAGATACACTGGGGGGTAGACTTTCCTGGCTTCATGAGGCTAGTCACCCAAGACCTGGCCCATGGAAAAGAGACTGAAGTATGAGGAAGATGAAGATGTGAAAGAGAAGGGTTAAAAGGATCCAGAGTTCCTGGGTACCTGAAGTCCAAAGAATAGAAAAGGGGGATAAAAAGCAGAGGCTGTCATTGGTCTGACACAAGAGTCCTTTCTTCTGAGTTTGTCCTGAAAGCCAATCCTTGACTCCGCAGCCCCTGAGTCATCTGCATATGACCCCAAGTGCCCAAAGCCCTGGTCTAGAGAGAAGATTAAAGGACTTGGCTCCAAAACTCCTAGGATGCAATGGGGTAATTAAAAGGAAACGTCCTATAGGCCAGACTCAGCCTGATCAATACCCATTGAAGTTAAGAAGACACAGGGCCGACCAGCTTCCCACACATTTATTTATTGCCATGGTGTGAGTCATATTAGCAGCTCAGGGGAGATACCACAATGGGGCTGATTTTTCCTGTTGTGGATTATTGATTGGGCTGGGCTGCCCAGGAGTGAAGCAGGATGCAGCCCATTCTCCTTGCCTCCCACACGCCCTCCCCTCTTGCCCCTGGCGGCACTTCCTGCCTCTGTCTCACTGATTCCCTAGAGGGGTAAATGAGAATGAAGAGATTGACTTGGACCCAGGGACACTGTTAGAAAGATCCCCATGCCCACTGGAGTCTATACTGGAACCGTCATGCACTTTAATTGCTTGTGAGGGGCCCAGGGAAGAGGTGTTCTGAGATTCTCCCTCTGAGTGAGCTAACAGTTAGCCAAGGGGCCATCCTTCTATGTGAGTGGGTTCCAGTGGTCTCATACCCACAATGCCCTGTATCTTCTCCTGCTTTCTTTCAGGGTGCTCTATGGGAACAAGATCACTGAGATTGCCAAGGGACTGTTTGATGGACTGGTATCACTACAGCTGCTGTAAGTAGAAGTCTCATCACGGTTTGTGTCTCTGGGGCTGTTGGCAGGCTCTGTCCTGAACACTTTGAGCAAAACTCTGGCAAGTTCTTTTGACTTGATGCATTCCAAAAGGAAAAACAAAATTGAGTTATCCACCCCTTGCCTTCACCACCTGTTTGTGCGTGTGTGGAAGGCTAGTGGGAAGGCTAAGGACAATAAGATCAAGCCTAACGATACAGCTCAGGACACTTAGCATGACCCACTACCCATAGGGCTAGAAATTAGGAAGCAATGAATAATCCTACAAGGGGAAGCATCTTGCACGGATGTTCTAGGGACTGAGGAACTAAAATACGCTTGTACCAAATTCAAAGCTGTTGATAGACATGTGACCTTGAATATGAGTTGCTGGTGGAAGGGTGGTAGGGACCTAATTAGAGAAGAGCATCATCAGTTATGGGGTGACTCTTTCTGTGTACAATATGGCTGAGGGGGAAAGCTTCATTTGATTTACAGGAAGATTCGCTGCCTCAAGTTTTAAGCTCTGATATTTATTTGCGTTTATTTCATTCTGGTCATTTGAGCTTAAATGTTTGAGGAAGATAATTGAAATTGGATGTGGAGAGGCTAGAAAAGGAATTAAGCTCATACTCTATGTTAAGATTTTACGATTGTGTAAGAGTTTTGTCTGGTTTATATGAGGTGGCTTCTGTGGGTGTAGGAGTTTGTGTTTGTACCCACACACGTCTGTGACTTCTCTATGATCATCTGAGTACTATTGGTACCTGTGCAAAGTCAGTTTGATCTTGAGTGCCCTCTGAGCAATGGAGAACACCAAGTCTCAGTCACACAGCAAAATGGGTATGGAAACTCGTGTAGAATTTGTCTGGTGCTGTGGCTCTGAATAGCACATGGTGTATGTTTCAGAAGATGTGTGTCTTAGTTACCTGGCGTTGCTGTAACAGAAATACCACAATTGGGTAGTTTTGAAGAACAGAAATTTGGGAGACTAGAAGTCCAAATTCAGGGCTCCTGCTCTAGGGGCAGTTTCTCTCTCTCTGTGGTTTCTGGGGGAAGAGTTCTTTCAGTTTCTGTAGATTGGGGCATTCCTTGATTCGTTGGAAATCTCCATGTATCTTCTTGTTTGCTGCTCTGTGCCTAATATACTTTTTTTATATCTCAGAAGTGGGTATATTTAAGACATATCCTACACAGACACACCCTACCTACATGGACTCAGGTGTGGCACTATAGGATAAGCACTGGACAACGAACCACAAGGTCGGTGGTTCCAACCCACCAGCTGCTCCTCAGAAACCCTATGATGCTGCTGTTAAGTGCTATCGAGTCTGTTCCAACTCATAGTGATACTGTATAGGGTTTCTAAGAAGCAGCTGGTGACTTTGAACCACCCACCTTGCGGTTCAAACTGACCCTGTGGTCTAGTGCTTATCCTACAGAACCATACCAGGACGCTCAAAAACCCAGTACAGGATGGTGATGAGTCAGAACGGACTTGAGGGCACTTAACAAACAACAACTACATAGATATGGCCTCATTAACAGAACAAAGAAAGCCCTGTTTCCAAGTGGATTCCCACAGGTATAACCTCCTGCCTTGGAGTCAGTTCCAACTCATAAAACTGCTCCATAGGGTTTCTGAGGCTATAAATCATTAAGGAAACAGACAGACTCATTTTGCTCTCAAGGAATGATTAATGGATTTGAACAACTGACCTTATGGTTAGTAGCCCCATGCTCAAACCACTGCACCACCAGAGCTCCCTCCCATGAGTATAGGTGTTAAAATCTCAGTCGATATTTTGGGGGAACACAGTTCAATCCATAATAGTGTGCATCTGAATATAGATAGGGGTGTATGTGTGTCTTTTTTAAATCACCTCTAGCCAACAGACAATGAAGAAGGGGCCTAGCATCCCCAGATTCCCTGATGCAGCTAAGAGAAGCTGCAGGAAGCCAGGTGGGTCCTCAGCAGTGAGTGGGAGGTGCAAGACCAAGGATGGAGTGAGAGAGGTAGGAATGTATCTTACCTGGCTGATGCCCAAAAACTCAAGTGAGACTGACTCATGGCTAGGAGCCCCAGCTAGTTGCTGACCTTTATCTGGATTGACTGGGGAGCTCTACCTGGTCACTGGCCTTTGCTTGAATTAGTTATAGAGCCTTCCTAGTAACTGATAAGAAGTACAGGAGCTGGCTTATTCAAACCCTGGAACCTCAGGGCTGGATTGTCCTGAGCGAGAGTTCCTTTGAGAGGGTATTCTCTGAAGTTACCCGGATTGATGAAGGGAGAGACACGCTCTGTTTCCAGGACCTGCCCAGTGTCATCTGTGTAATACCTTTCCCTAATACATAGCCTGAGTTTCCCCACATTGATCCTGAGTTGCATCCCCAAGTGCATGCTGTTACTTCTGCATGGTATGTAACCATGAAATGTAAAAAAGAATTCCTGGTGAGACTTTCTTCTAGTCCTTTCCTTGTCTCATCTTCACTCCCTCCCCTTTATCTGTCCTCTGATCAGATCCCCAGATGGCTTTTGGTGATGTGAGTTGTACCAGGCCAGATGCCTAGCAAGTTTCTGGACAGCATATGCATCATAGCAGTAACCAGACTCATTTCCATGGAGAGGAAAATGTTCTTTTTCTCTGAATCTGCATCTTGCCTCACCTCATCTCCTATCTCCTTGGTTGTATCACTATGCATGTCTCTACATGTGCAGACTCAGGTACAAAGGTCTCAGCCCTCAGTAGCCCTTTAAGGCTATTAGAATGACAAGCCAGCAGTATGTGGGGAGCTGCGTTTTTCACAGATGGTGTTCTTTGCTTGCAGCAAGGAAACTGTACATTGTAACTGTGACCATAAGGGTAGTTAACTGCTATTAATCCCTTGAAAGAATAATAACAGTAGCCTCCTTCCTTGAGGTGGATTTGCAGGGGGTGTGTTCCACTGGGCTGCCATGAATGCCCTTTAAAACCTGTGTGTCTGTGTACAAAGGAAAATACCTTTGCAAGCATTAAGGAAACGCATAAGCTAATGTGTGCCTAACTGCCTAGCACATAGAGCTCTGGTTACTCAAGCTGCTAATATCAAGGTCAGCAGTTTGAAACGCCAACTGTTCCACGGGAGTAAGATGAGGCTTGCTGCTCCCATAAAGATTTACAGCCTCAGAACCCCTATACAGGGTCTCTATGAGTGAGAACCATAGACTCATAGCCACCACCACCAACCAACAGCCTACCACAGTTCCTAGCATGGAGCAAAGACTGGAGAAACACATACTGATGTTAATACAACTAACAAAACTTTGCATAGACTGGAAAGCCAACTCCAGTTCACTGTCTTCAGTTTTCAACAGGTAGAATTGAACATCTGTAAAGACAAAGACCGTCTCCTGTCTCTTGAGATCAGGAGTGGAGGTAAGTCAGACAGACTCCCTTTCTGGAAAGAACCAACCCCTGAGGCCTGGGTCACTGTCATTGGTTTTTGACCTGCAGTTGAGCGGCTAGAAAGTGGGCCCTGATTAGATCTAATTTAACGTTCAGCCCACTGTAGATTGGATTTCTCCTTGTTAGACTGGAGACACTCTGATAAGAAGGCTCTTATTAGAATGCCCCTGTAGTCTGGGTAATTTCCTTTCCTTTGACATGAAGGCTTGTGTGTTTTCTTCTCTTTCCGGCTCTCTCAAGTTCTGTAGAGGTTCATGGCAGAGCCAAGCCTTTCTGCCACACACAGTGGTCCTAGCTATTTCCTCTCTTTCTCTTGTGATACTGCCAGCCATACAGCCAGGACACTATAAGTAGTTTGCCCTGCTGCTCCTTCCTCGTTTCTCTGGACTTTTCTCCACTCCACCAAGTGGTTTACGTAGCACGTTCATTCAGGCAGGTGGCCGACACTAAGTAGAATATCTCAGGTTTAGAGTTTCACAGGTGTTAAAGTAAATAGGTCCATATGGACAAATTTCCCCAGTCTAGGGAGATGCCCCTAAACCTGACACCCTGTCCTCTGGAGCTTCATAAGAGTTGCTTCTTTTAGTTCAAGTTCCACAATCTTAGAATTCAAAGGGACATTAGGAATCTGAGCACAGACAGCCTTCCACCAGCTGGTGCAGAAATCTCCCGATGCACTCAGACCAAACCCCCCTATTGCTCATATGCTGATGGCTCCTGTGATAAGTCGTCACTGCAAAGTTATAAGTTCTTTCTTATATTAAACTTCAAGAATGGCTTTGGAGAAACTCAGGAAAGTCTGTTAGCACCGTCTTCAAATGTTCAAAAATATCTAGTATGTCTCCTTATCATTAACTGTGAACAGGCTTTGTTCCTACCATGCTTTCAAACCGGTTCACCCGTGGCTGAAAAAGCACAACTGGAATGACCCAAATTTTTAAAATTTGAATGATTCAGAATGCTCACCAGAGAAACAAAAGTGACAAGTCGAAGTGCTAGAATGGAGGACTCGGGAGAGGTGCAGTGAACCCTTTCAGGAACCTGACTCAGGAGATGGAGTTATTGCCAAAAGTGTGGGGAGTCACACAAAGAACCTTGTTTGAGCTGGACACCAGCCCAGCAAGAATTTTCTAAGAAGGAGATTCTAACAGAACTTTGACGTGTAATTTTCCCATTCTGGTTAGCATTCCAGTTCACCTGCATTTTTAAAATTCAGATTTGTTCTGATGTGACTGAACCAGGCTGAACTGGTTCAAAGTCCTAGTTCCTACAACCATTCATCATATAATCACACACGTATAATCACACATGTATAATCACACACGTATAATCACACACTCATTGTTGATTACTAACAACTCTTCTTCTTTGTGGGAGGATGCCAGGAAGTCTGCCAACTTCCCTCCTTAGAACAGGCTGCTAGCGAGTGAACTTGGACAAGAGGAAATATGTTAAAAGACTTTTTCCTGAACTACTAAGAATTGAACTATCCTCAAAGGAGGCATCTAAGAACCCAGGGTTAGAATAGGATGTGTCACTAGGCATGTGACCTCTACC